AAAACTTTTCTTTATAAAGAAAATTGAATGAAAATTTTTTATAATTTAATTTTGTGCAATAGTAAATGCATTCGATAAAAATATCAAGGCATAATGTACCTTGATTAAACATTTTATAAAAAGAATCAATCGTTATTGAAATAAAGTTATAATAAATATATTCATTCGACAATTGTAAATTATCGAATAAAAAAAAAAACAAAAAACTTTTTAAATGTAACAATACTGCATACCTGCAGTAATATTGCAACAATTTTAATAAATTTATTTATAATTAAAAATTATATTAAATTTTTATCAGTTAGAACTGTCCTTTGATTCATTTACTTTTTCATAAACGTGAAAAACATATTCTATTTCATTTTCTTTTTGAACTCCTTTAGGAACTCTATCATCACTATTAATAAAACAAAATTTAAATGAAACTAATTTTATATATATATATGTAATTTATATTTAAAACAAAACAAACCGATAAGAAACTGACCTGACTTCTTTAAAATCTTTGGTAAAATCATAATTAAAAAAACAATCACATTCAAATTCTTTTTTTATTCGAGTTAGATAAAACCTATGACAAAGTCCATATTTTAAAACGCTTTCATAAACTTTTGAACCTCCTATCACCCAAGCTGTTTCTATTAGGTTAGAATAATCAGGAGAATTTATTTTTTTTATTAAATCATTTAAATCGGAACAAACAACTGCTCCATCTAAATTTCTGAAAAAAAAAAAAAAAATATATATAAATGAGGTGCTGCTGCTGCTGCTGTAAAAAAAATTCATTTATTTGTTAAAAAGTTTAAAGTACCATTGAATGAATTTAAAAATGATTATAAAATACTCTTATAAAGTACTTTAAGAGAAATAAGTGTTTAATTAACAACATTGTTAATAAATTTTAACATTAAAATATAATTATGATATAATTTTTATTTGTGAACTTACAATGACTGAGTAGTCAAAACAAAATTATATCTTCCAGGTAATGGTTTCCAATTGTGTGGTAAAGAATCCCAAGTTTTACGACCCATAATGACTGCATTTTTTTTCTCTGGATTTTTAACATCTTTTGTCATTCTATTAAAATACTGCAATTCCTTTCTGACAACCAAAATAAATAAGTAAATTCCATTGAAATTTAACTTAGAAATAAGACATTTGTTATCAATACTTAATTCAATTATGGGTTTAACATGAAATAATGCACGATTAATTCTTTTATAAGAATTACAAAAAATACTTTATAATATAAAGTTAAAAATGTGTAATAAATAAATAAAATAAACTTAAACCTTAAATTCCATGGAAGATTTCCCTTATATCCGATACCATTATTGCTACAAACGGCGGCTATCAAATTAAAATTGTTGACCATTTTACCAAAAAAAAAAGTTTATAAATAATTATTTTTATCTTATAAAATATAAATACGAAAAAAGAAAATTAAAAAATTTTGTTTTATAAATTATTATTAAATCAACGTCTGTTCAAAATGAATCCAAGGAAAAAACCGGTTGCGTAATGCAAAATTTGGCGGGAAATTTTAGAAGTCTTAATAAATAAAATTGTTTGCGCGCGACCCTGATAAAAACAAAAAAAAAAGGTTGTCGGCCTTACGATTTAAAAATTTTTTAATTAATATTTTTTTCGTGTTTAACCTTATCCTATTACAATTGTTTAGTAGTTTTTTATCTATTTAAAAAAAAAAAAAATAAAAAAATAAAAAACACAATTGAATTTTAACAAATTAAAATCGTATAAAAAAATTAATGTAATTTCTTTACGTAAGGTCATTTTTTTATAATTTTTAAAAAATTAACGGATTTAATACTTCATTATGGCAATTTAATCGTATTTTAAATCTTAGCAAATGGATAATCTGGACAACGAAAAAAAACATTAAAAGAAATTTTAATAATAAAATAATAACACCACATTATTTACAATTTTATGTAATTAATTACAACCATTAACCATAAAATTTTTTATTTAATTCTTTTTATGCATCTTTTTTTAACTAAAAAAATATTCCCCAATCGATTGCAAACCACCAATTAACTTTTTTACAAAAAAAAAAAATTTTTTAATTTTACTTCTATTAATAAATAAATAT